GATCTACTTGATCTTTGCTCTGCTGGCCGTAAACTCGGAAGAATTCGAAAATTAGAGTAAAAGCTCTTATAGGAGACGAAGCAAAAACTTTCGCGCCAACGGGATGCAAACCCACAAGCATTTGCCTTTGAAGCGAGACCGTTACCACTAGGCCACGGTGGCACTGCCTAGCGATCGATCAGCAGCCTTACGAGTCAAAACTGAGTTTTCGCAAACTTTGACCGCCCAGAACTCGTCTGGGGTCCCCGTAGCACTTTTAATCTGCATATTCGTAATCAGCATTCGAGACTCTATCGATGTACCTAGGTCTCCATTCAAAGTTCCATGGGAAGTTGAAACCATTCCCTTGTGAGATAGATCTGGCTAAAACTACGTCTCCCGGCTAGGTGGCTCCCTCATCACAAACACGACATCCGTTTGAAGCGAAAGGCCCTTGATACCGCGCCAAGGGGACCGGTGCGTGTGTTATGCTGGTGGAGTACCTTTACCGTCCTGCCGATGTGATAACCAAATTCACAAAGTACTCCCTTTAATATGTTTATAATAAAACTGGTGTTAAACTGATGGTTCGAGGTGCTTTGGCGCCGGCATGGCGAAATCTACCTAAGTGAGACAATTTCAATAGACATCTGGAAGATCGGGGAAGACGTAGTAAAGGATAACCCATTATCCAAAAGTACATGCAGAACTGAAGAGCTTTTGCTGAGGATAACCTCGCATTACTGGCAGAGAACAAAGCCAGATCTGGTTTGGCGCTACTTCAGTAGGATAGACTCCTTAAAGCACTGGTTCAACGTACCCTTTCTTGTACAGAGCAATCACCCACCCCGGACTTTCCCCACCCCCTTCTTTTGGACACCCCCCCTCCAGCGTTTATTTTCATGGTATAAATGTCCACTACTGCACCGAATTGCTCCTCTTCATGGGAATAGCGCCTCCAGCTAACCCAGAGAAAAACCGCCAAACTGATAATCTGATAAAACTGCGTGAAAAACCACCCCTGCCGAACGGTCTGAATGATTCAAAATAAAAAACAACGAAAAATGCTAAACTAACCTTTCCGTCAGGTCCTGGTATGCCCGGAGGTGGGGTAATGGGCTGCCTGTCTACAGCGAGCAGTTTTCTAAGAACCCAATTCCAGAACGGTATCCGCGAACGATTTTTTACCGTCGCGTCAGCGATCTTGCGACCGCTCATCCTTACTGAAATACTGTTCTTAACAATCAATTACAGATCAAGAAAAAATATAGCGCACAAACCTAAGAGGAGACTGTTCTGCAAATGCAAAGAATGAACGAAGCAATAGCAAGTATCAAAATATGACACTTTAAAGATGAAAGGAAAAAAACATGGAATGACCGTCTTTGAAACTTCCACACCCAGCACACTAAATTTGTACTTCGACCTTCTGAACACGAATATCACATCCTGCGCCGGCGCCAAAATACCCTAAATCACCAAATTCGCTGAAAACTTGTCCCTAGGGGTAGTTTGACCCCTGAACATGAATATCACATCCGCTTGGGCCAAAACCGCCTGGCGCCTGCGCCACAGGCGCCGATGCCAAAACACCCTAAGTCACCGCAATTGAGGAAAACTTTCAGGGATTAACATCCTGCTACGAATAGAATTTATTCTTGGCGGCGGCACCAATGTAGAACGGTAAATGGAGAAATAAATGCCATACTCGTGTCAGGGCATCAAACAACCCTATTACGCAAGTTTTTATCGATTCTGGGAAGAAAAGATGTGGTGCCAAATGGCGCCAGCGTTAGGAATGAATGTTATATTCGTGACCAAGAATCGAATAAACATCTAAGACAAAGTTTCAGCGAAATTTTTTTGTGAGTTTGGGGTAGGAATAGTTCAATAGTGCCCATTTGTTTGTTTTGCATCTTACTTCGGTTTTCTAGCCAAACTCCCAACTGATGCTTTTGTTTGTTGGGGCATGTATGGACGGATTCAATAAATAAATAGAAGAGCAGGAAATATTTAGAACCATTTAATTTGCGCAAGATACAGCCAAAAGTAAAAAAAATCAAAGTAATATGAAAGATCAAAGAGGAAGCAGTGCCACTAAATGATTCTCAGTAGCTAACAGTAGTATGATTGTAGAAAAAAAGTCCAGGAAGGGAAGAATCATGAGTGTAGATGTGGAAAAGCAGTTGAGAAGAACGTAAAGACCCAAATTCAAACGAAACGATTCCAAACATGTATTGTATTACCATGAAAATGGCCTGGTAGAAGAAAAATAATGAGAAAAGTTAGAAGAGGATAGAAAATTGAGGAAAAGACGAAGAATTTGCACATAGAACCTCCCGAACGTCCCTTTATTTTTTCTGTTCAATTTCTTTTTCAAACTGCTCACTAGTTGCAGCTATTCCAGCAGGAACTGGAAACCGCCATGTATGCTTATTCATAATCCGCCAAGAGAAATACCCAGGAAGATTGTGACGAAAACTAGCAACAAAAAGCGACTTCTGTAGTAATTGTATTCTTCTATCGAGAAGGTAACAGTCCATCTTCATATACTTGTAAAAATATTCAGAAACCAGGTAGCGCTTATTCCAGGAAAAATTCTCGGGCGGTTGGCTGCGAACGCGACGCGATGACGAAGCGTCGCGGCTCGCAGTTGCCCACGTTTGCTGTTTGGGCGCTCGAGGCTGGTTTCCTGGTTGAACCTATTGCCTTCAAAAACTTAACGGCTATTTCCCACAGTGATGTAGCAGAACATCATTCCTGATGAATTTTGGGAAAACTCGGTAAAGAGGGGTATGCGACAAGACAATCGTTCTTGATTGGAGTAGTGGACGTCGCGTGCGGTTCGTGCTATGACGGTTTTTTTCGGACCGTAGATGAAGACAGTAGATAATCTATAGCCAAAAGTAGCCACGAATGTTTGTGATGTCCACTGTACATGAAATCCGCTGCTCTAATAGGCAGGGTAAGAGAAATTAGGAAAAGCCACGCGCGACGAAAAATTACGATTGTCGTGGCCGTCTATCACGTTTGATTAATGCCAAGTAGGAACAACTGTAACAATAAGGTGAAAGTGAGGTAAGTGGTGTCGTCACCAAACCCATGATCCGCATATTGAGTTCACGAAGGATGGCCAAGCCTTTCTCCTCCTCTGGGCCTGGCTAGTCGCTGGACGTTTCGTTTGTATGGATAAAAAGCCTTTACAGTAATATCGCTGCGGATGTAGGGGCTATCAGGTGGCTGGGTTTGGCGCAGCTCCAGCTCGTTTCCCACCAATATGTATTGTCGCCTGCACGCTTCAACGGTTGGTCGAAACTGGGTTCGCGCCACGCCAAACCTAAACCCTGATTCGCTGCAGCATGTGCAGCGATCAGGGCCGTACATCGGCTGTTCCTTTAATTTATCGCATACGCCTGTGGTCCATCACGGCTCCAACTAGTCTTTTTGACTTAGTGCAGCATCCACCATTGAGATCTCCACTTGATCCTTACCCCTGATTTTTTTGGTTAGGTTTATAACAGTGCCTGAAGGGATTGTGCTCTTGAACCATTTCTTTGCCCTACAATCCTTTGGTATCTGTAGCAAGCAGTCTAGCCAAAGGCAAAGTTGAACCACATCTTCTCAAGGCCGTCAGATTTTGGTATGAATCAGTAGTGTACAGTCGTCATCCGGGCAGTTGATTAGGCGGTCAAAAGGTCGCAGACGCGGCTGCGGCGCGGCATCAGCTGTTTCCAGCCTATTTAGCCATTTTCTCCCTAATTTTCACTGTATTATTCTTTTTTTTCGAGGTGAGTTGTTTTTGTCTTTATAAGCATATTAGGACGCAGATTCTTTTTTTTTGTTTTCGTAATGAAGTGTTTTTGCGATTCTTTAGGTATTTGTTTAATTATTTAATTGTTCGCAAAAATCAGAGAAATCCCAATCATGATTTATGCACGAAATTCCAGAGATCGGTTAGGCGTGGCTGCATCTTCAACTTAACCTGGAGGTGTCTATGCTTCTGCTGAAATATTTTCAACTTGTTACAATTGTTGTCGTGTCTCTGTCCGACACAGAACAAGATGACAGTTGTCCCAGACTGGAATATTCCACGAGTAATCAATTCCGTGCCATGTTCGAATGCCACGCCTACTCTGGCTCATGATAAGGAGTGTACCTTGTGAGGACAGGGAACAACTAACCAGAAAAGCAGCTGAAAACAGTGAAAATGGGAGAAAATTGCTGAATCAGCTGGGAGGGGCCTGTTCGCTCGCGGCTGGCGCGCGCCGCAGCCGCGTCTGCGACGCCTTGACCGCCCTAATCAGGTGCCCGTATGACGGGTTGTAGTTTTTGAGGAAGTACTCAAAAACGGACCAGCTTATCGACTGTTCGCGCGTTCCGACGAGGCAATAACTTTCTCCACGTTCCGTTGATGGCGTAATCGCGGTGCGGATTAGTCTCCTCGTTTCGGTCAGTCGATGCCGTCGAACTTGATCTTCCTGGCTTGCATAACCTTCGTGCGAGCTTTCCGATGCAAGCATCCGTGCGTTGGAAGTGCAAATACTCTTCTTAAGAACTGGCGACTTAGTTCTCCGTTGTTTCTGGGGTCTAGTTTCCTCGCCCGAACGGTGGATGTCTCAACCGACGCCACTCTGTCGGTGGTTCCCTCAGGTTCAGGGGAGAGCTGCACTAGCAATTAATGTATTTTCGGCATGTAGTCTTGTTCGCTGCTGAATCTTGCATTTCAAAGACAATTCAGTCTGCCGTGGCCGCGCCTGGCCAGATGACCACAGCTGTGGTCGCCTCCACCTTACTCATGTTGTTTGTGACGGACTGAGCGTTTCGCGCGAAGCCTGGCCTTCCCAATAGGACATCATCGCGCAGCGAACACGTTAGGTGACCTGGTAGGTGGACTTTTCTAACCGAAAACAACAACTTCTTTTCACATTAATTTGCATGTACGATGTGCCTTGTTGTTCCAAAACGTACAAAATTAAACATTTATTAATAAGAATGACGACACAATTCAAAAACACGTCTGTCTAGAAACCCGCATGACTGCCTCTCGTCTTGTACAGTTCGATGAGCTTTTGAAGTACTTCTCGTTGATTTACTCCTGGAAATATCTCAACATGACTTTCATTTGAAACACGCCTGATCACCATGACAAAGGGTGGGCTATGTCCTAGACCATTTTTCTGCGCTTTGTATCCAGGCGATTTCAAATTTCGCTGCTCTTTCAGGTTAGCCTGAGTAGTTATTTCTTAGAATCCTGTCGTCTCTCCACCATTATAGGGTGCCCGTTTCTGGAATACCTTACACAGTTTTCCTTCCTATGCACTGTTCCGCTGGCAGAGGCTATAAACAAACAGACGCGTAGAGCAACCTACCAGTTCTTTGAATTCTCAGCCCTAATGCTTTCCGACAATTATTATAACCAATGCCGATAACATGCGTAATGAAGAAGAATTTATACTTAATATCCCCACAACCGGCGGGGCGGTTCTGATTCGTGAAAGCGCTCTCCAACCAATCAACGACCGACGTGGCACCCTTCGTAGGGATTCACTGATCGTTTTTGTGACCCGGGCTCCGCGAATGTCAGCCAAATTTGTGCCCTTTAGTTGAATACTTAGCCGGATGATATCTTTAATAAATCTTTATAATATTTCTCACCTTGGAATACATACGGTGCGCTGAATAGTATGCCGCATGTACCTCCTACAGTAATCCCAAAAAATACGTACAATAGTAATCGATCAATAATCATTGCCACATACTTCCAATCGTCTCGATACTGAAATATGGTACATACTGTACAGTCTTGTTGCGGACGAGGGCGTGTCAGGCGAGGGGGCGGGTGTTTTAGTTTGGTGAAGCACCAGCCCCCTTCTCGCACAAAAATTGACAAGCAATCATATTGCGAAATAATGTGGCGGGAAACGGCTTGTCGCATACGGGAAAGCGGAGGGTTCTGAACTTACGACACTTCTGTCATACATCATGAACGAGGGCAAATCAAAGACCCCACTGACCATCTTATGCTCTTCGACCTTCTTGAGATGATCAGTAATGTATTCGATGGCATCTATGGCTAAGAGAGCATCAGGTGTTAACGGATGAAACACCGACGTCACAGGATCTCGGAGGATTTCAATCGAAGAATTCAGCGCTTTCGTTGGAACAGTAGTTCTGAAAAATTCACAGCTACATTGATTTTTAATCAGAAGAATTGTGGTGAGTGGTAGCTGTTACTCGAAGGCATTGTCCGCAAACCACATTCGCTGTTTGGCTTGGAGGGGGCATTTTGCACTTCTGTTGGTTCCTTTTGTTGATTCATGTTAACTAACAGAACGAAAGCTGCGAATATTGTCAGGAAGTGAAATGGTTTATGTTAGCCACTTTTTACACGAATTTTCAGGTCTTCACAAGATGGATTGAACACGCTTCAATGGGTACCATTTGTTGCCCCCACAAGCCGAAGTACGCCAAATCTTCCTCACGAAGAAAGACACGATGCACTTGCGGGCGGAGTCAGGCCAATAGTTGTACTGGTACGTCATCCCTCTTTGCTGTTCTTTACGGGGGTGCACCAGCGATAAGCGCACAATGGTATGCCCAACTCCGCCCATACCATTGGGGTGGAATGTGTCTTTGAGTCGCACGCAGGCGATGTAGGTCAATACGTAAATGACGAAAACGGAACGAAAACGTTGCCAAACTCCTGTAGAGGAAATTGGTAATGACATTGGTGACCGAGCGAGATTTAGTGACGTTCGAAGGCGTGGCCAAAATGTTCTCAGAAGAGAAGGTTTTTTGACAACTGAATTGGACTTGGGTTGTATGACAACTGGAATAGAGGGCTTCACATTCTACACATTGTTACCCTCATCCTACACTCTGCTACTGTTTGACCGTGACAATACTGCTCTGGTAAGTTGTCCCTGAAATTACTAGCGAGCATTGAACTACGGCTTTCTTAAGCGCATATCGACTAGGTGGGGGTAATGAGTAGTACTCAGCTGAGCTTTCATAGGCCATCTTATGAAGACAACAAGAGGAACGAACGAATGTGCGGAATGTTCCTTCTGAGCGGAACATCACCCATTTTTCACTTTTTTCTGGAGTGCTATCAAAAAT